AGTCAGACAGAGGCATGTCTGGCGAATATGGAGGCTGGGGCATCATTACAGTATTGTTTTTCGGCCAAAAATTTCGTTCAAAATTTAACAATTTTAGAACAAATTTTGCTGCCACGCGTTTCATAGGTACCCAAAACATTCGAAAAAATTTCATGGGATGAGCCAATCGATATACCAACATCATCAGCGACTTCTCTGATGGTTTATAACCATTTCTTCCACTTTTTCCATGTTTTTATCGGTTGTTAATGTGCTTGTGCGTTCGGGGCGTTCGTCATCTTCAACGTCTTCACGGCCATCTTGGAAACTCTTATACCACTTGTAAACTCTTGTTTTACTTATAGCAGTCTCACTATAACCCTTTGTTAACATTTCACAGAATTTATTTCATTTTTTAAGCAAAATTGGATACAAATTCTTTGATCCATTTCTTTTAACGAACGAAAAATCGCCGAGCTCATAAAACACGTCTAACCTTAGCGGCTGCCACAGACAAAGTAAACAATGAAAACAGCTAAAGTTTTTATCATACTTCGGGGGCATGTATACCAACATAATAAAGAAAGTTTTATGACAACCGGACCCTCCGAACCCGCGAAATTTAACAATTCCCGTTATTTTCTGAACACACCTCGTATTTTTGATTCAGCGCTACATTTTTCAAAAAACTACCAAAACCACTTTTTTCATGATTTTTCAAATTCAGAGTATGGAATTTATTTTTTTTCAAAAAAACAATAGCAAGTTCTTGTAGAACATTTATTCATTGGTGGTTAGTCAGAACATTCCGTAGACCAAAAAATTTTAATTTTTTTTTATTACGGTATTCGTTAGTATTGAGCGTTGCTTTTATATCGAAAAATTTCAAGCTTCAAATTGCTTTTTTTACAGCTCCAATACGAAGATACAGCTATCCGAAAAATCGCAAAAAATATGGATTTTTTTATCCTTTAATTTTTTCCATTAGTGTAGAAGTTTTAAATTGCCATTGGTTTTTTAGTATGTGGAAACTACTAAATAATAAGAAATCAGATTTTTTCGAGGATTTTTTAGTCTCGGTCAAAATTTTCAATAAAGAGAAATGTAATATATTCTACATTTCACTTTATTATTAATATACATTTTACTAAAAATTTCATTTTGAAAAATTACTCCATTTTTTAAGATTGACAGAATTGGAAACTACTAAATAATAAGAAATCAGATTTTTTAGTCTCGGTCAAAATTTTCAATAAAGAGAAATGTAATATATTCTACATTTCACTTTATTATTAATATACATTTTACTAAAAATTTCATTTTGAAAAATTACTCCATTTTTTAAGATTGACAGAATTGCTTTATTGTAGCGGATTTGAAAAAAAAAAAAAACCGTTTTTTTTCTAGTTTTTTTTCACATCTGAAAAAAAACCGTTTTTTTACATCTCTATCTATAGGTACTTAAATTTAATTAAAATACCCTTTTTTAGGGAAGAATATCAATTTTCAATGTAATACCATAAAAACAAATATGATAAGTTATTGCAAAATTAGCTTGTTGAGAAGGCACATTTGTTTTTAAGAAGTATTTCATTGACTTTTATCAAAAATGTGGTGGTGGCATTAAAATATCACCACAGGATGAAGAAAAATTGCTTTTAAATATTATTATAAACTTCAAACAAGCACATTTAATTTAATGTTGTACTTGGGTCTTCATAAAATATTAATGTATTTACTCGAGAGATAATAGTTTCAATATTATTCTAAACCAAAGCAATATTGTATATCCTACCGCAAAAATGTTTAAAAAGAATACTGCTTACATGCTTACTAGCTTTATTAACCCTTCATCTAAGGACACCATAAAATAGGCCTTCTGTAATTTTTAACAAGGCCCTATCGATGCTGTTACAGCAATAATAAATTTATTTATTTTTAAAACCTAATGTGTTACTTGGGTATGATATGTTATGATTCATATCTATGAAAAATAGTTTTTTTGAATATTTCCCAGACATATTTTTTTTTATAAAACAAACTAAAAATGAAAATTTAAATCAAGAAGTTTTGACCTTTTACAAAAGTTGTTTCCCCTAAATATGTACATACATAGACCTATTTTTTTAAGAAAAGTAGGTACCTACCTACATAACTTAATTTAATAACAATAAAACCAAAATAAAAAAGCAAACTTACCAAAAATATTCAAAATAGTTAAACAGCTCGTATCGTTTTGTTAATAAGTAATCTTTTCCACCGTTTGGTATATTCTAATTTAATGTTTTCGTAGACAATTTTTACTAAACAATGTTTTATTAGTAAACAATCGTTTGGCGGTAATAGAAAAAGAATAGAAATAATCCTTATAGGTTACAATATTTCTTCTTCTTCTTCTTTATAAATCTGAATGCCACAGATTATAAAGAAAAAAATGCAGAGCACTATGTTCATGGGTAATGGCCTTTAGCTTACTTAAAAGCTATTAGGTTTAAAAAAATTCCAATTTTGATCATTTATTTAATATTTTCTTATTGATTATAGTTTTTTTTAAATATTAATTTCCATATTTTTTATCACTGTCACTTTTTTAGACTTATTTTGTTTTTAATTCGTTATTTCTAAATTCATTTATTCAACATCTTTCCAAATAGGTACATTTTTTACAGTACACTTAAAAACATTCATAATTCTTCTTTAAAATCAATTATTTTTTTTTCTTTTTCTTTTACACTTGTTCCTTCTTTTATTCATATTATATATTATATCTTCCACTTGTCCAAACCATTTAATCATTTAAATATAAATAATCTTATTATAAATAATCTTAACACACTTCGCGTTCCTAAACTGAGAGCACTTGAGTACATTAAATTACTTACAAGTACACTAATTCACTTACAATACCTATGTTCGCACTCATCAACTACTAGTAGTCTACTACACTAAAGTACAGTGTGTTGCCTACAACTTTATTTATAATGTTATGCATGAAAATTAAGTAATTGACTATTAATTGGATAATTTAGTGATTAAATTTGTAGTTCAGACATCTAAACAACTTGTGTATTGTTCCAATACAAATAAAAACGTTTTATTAAAGCTTGAATCGCATTCATTAGTAAAAATTTAGTCCATCTTGATTATAAAGGCACAATTGTTTCCCAACAGCGCGAAAATCAGTTAAAAGTGTTTTCCCAAATTGGAAAAAGGCCCTCGAGAGAAAACAAGTGCCACCTGAACGAAACTATTTCCAAATTACTTCTCGGGTAAAAAGGACGATTAAATCGGGATAAGCAAAGTTTTTCAAACAATATCGAATTCCTTGGAGTTCACCCTTAGAATAAGAAATGCAAACAAAGTCCTATACAATCAGCGCAAATAAACCGGAAAAATGATGCAAATACACAAATATTATGTTTAAAAATATGGTAATATTATTATCAGTTTTACGCTAGCCTATAAATTTAAAATGTAAATTAAGCTTTAATTCGATGATTTATAATATTTAGCTAGTTCAGACGGTTTCATATGGATCCACATGCTTAAATATGAACAATAAAAAAATGATACCTACCTGGCATAATATCCGCAGCAGACATGGTCAAAAACTCAAATAAAACAAACTTAACAAAACTTCAGACTTCAGTTTTCCATGGATAAAAATCACCACACTTCCACAAAAACAAAACTCAACCCCACCAATAAAAATCCTCGACAGCTCAATTAAAAAAAAAACTCGAAAAATTAATTCGCGAGGATCAAAATCCGCTCTTGAAACTAGCAGCAGCACGAAAGACGCGCTTTCAACGCGCACTGTGACTAACGTTGGGGACGCTCACCCTATTTTTGAGCGTCGCTTTCCCCCACTAGAATTATTCGCGCTCCATTGTACAAGCGGACGCATCCGAAATGCCCCTTTAACAAAATAACGCACAAATCCGCATCGCTTTTTAATCATCACAGGTGGCCTTGCCTTAATTGCGAATAAAGGGCCGAGAAGGCCATGGAACGTCCTTCGCGAATAAATTATGATTTATAAATCTGTATAATAAAAACAGCATTAAAATACACTAAAAGAGATGTAAAAAGTCCTTATATTTCAAGAGAATAACAATTTTAAATCAATTGTTATTAAAAATTACTTTAAGAATGACTTTAAAGCAATAAAAACGAGTAGGCTGTGATTTTGTTGCATATGTCATGTCCGACATTTTTAATTTGGTTATAATAAAATGTCAAAATAATTGTCTAATGAACTTTTTAATTAGGTACATTTATCTTTAGATATTGATTTTTACTAATTAAAAGACAAAACAGTATTTTTATTGTAGATACTAAAAATGTACTAAAAATAACATAAAAGTCTTTAAAATTAAGAAATTAAGCGGTAATTTTAATGAATATACGAGTTGGCTATGTTTTGTTGCATACGTCATATCGGACATTTTTATTTTATTTTAAAATGTCAAACTAATTTTTCTAACCTTACGACTCAAAAGTTATTTATGGCCCATAAATTATGGGTCTTCTGTGTGTTTTTATTATTATACATTTTTGTACAAAAAAACCTAAGTATCTGTTATATTTTTAATACGTTATTTTTGCAGTAGACAGGTTGATTTGTAAACACTACTCGTGTAGAATAAGTTCCAGCATAAGACAAAGTACAAATAAGACTTTCAAAAATTGTCTTACCTTTTAAATAGTTCGATGAATTTCTTATTCCCCATTCTCAATTTAAATTCACTTCACAACACGTTCACTTTCCCCCGTAAACATCACAGCGCCAGTGTTGCCACCACAAAACAAGTATTGCCAACATAAGATATGGTTTAGGGAGAAAAACAACGTTGTTTTTTTCTTCCAAGGTAATAAATTAATTGTTATTAAAAGGAGCCCTATTTTAAAACAATATATATATACTTTTTACTTATTACATTTCTGGATTTCAATATTTTACCGTTCGAAATTGCCACCAAATAATTCATAGCGCCACCTGGCGTCCCCGTATGAAACCCTTTTTGACAATTGACAGCAGTTGCATTATTTTTAGTTTGCGAAACATATTTGTATGTAACATTTTAAACTAATAAATGCGTAAATAATTTGCTGCTTGTGGTGGGTTTTCAAGGAAACTCGTGCGATGGCGGCGTCCATCGAAATCCCGCTTCGGGATACCGATGAAGTGAGTATTTTCGATGGAAAGAGGTGATTTTGTGACGCTTGTGTAATTTTTAGGTTATAGAGTTATATTCCGATCAATTGCCCGATGGAGACGAAGTTTTGGGCATTTTGCGGCAGGAGAACACGCATTTGTCGATTTGGGTGAATCTTGCTGTAAGTTTGATATAATTTGCCCAATTTTAGGGTTTTGTGTATGTTTGGTTGTTTATTGCAGCTGGAGTACTACAAACAAAGTAAAATCGATGATTTCCTTAAAATCCTCGAGTCTTCTCGAGTGGATGCAAATGTTGAATACCGAGACTATGAAAAGGACCAAATGCGTGCCCTGGATATGCTTGCTGCGTATTACGTGCAGGAAGCAAATCGGGAGAAAAACAAGGACAAAAAACGCGAGTTATTCACGAAAGCGACTTTATTGTACACAACGGCGGACAAAATCATCATGTACGATCAGAACCACTTGTTGGGTCGGGCTTATTTTTGCCTGCTCGAGGGGGACAAAATGGAGCAGGCCGATGCTCAATTCAACTTCGTTTTGAACAAATCCCCGAACAACATACCTTCTCTGCTCGGTAAAGCTTGCATCGCCTACAATAAAAAAGATTTCCGTGGGGCTTTGGCGTTCTACAAGAAAGCCCTGCGTACAAACCCTAACTGCCCTGCGGCGGTGAGGTTAGGTATGGGGCATTGCTTTATGAAGTTGAATAATCAGGATAAGGCTCGGTTGGCCTTCGAGAGGGCTCTGCAGTTGGATCAGAAGTGTGTGGGAGCTTTAGTGGGGCTGGCTATTTTAAAACTTAACCTGCAAAACCCAGACACGATAAGGACGGGCGTGCAAATGTTGTCCAAGGCCTATACGATTGATTCTTCAAATCCCATGGTTTTAAATCATCTGGCGAATCATTTTTTCTTCAAAAAGGTAAGTTTTTGCTTTGTTATTTTTAGGTTAGAATTTAGGGAATAAGTGGCTAACAAAATTAGTGATAAGTAATACCAACTGTAAATTTCTTTAAAATAATTAAAAAATGATTTAATATTTATACAATTTACTTATACTATATTTTTTACTTTGGTTTTTTATATAACTTTTTTGAAAAGTTTTTTTAAATGTTAAAATTGACATTTCTATGATGGAATTTTTTAATGCTTTTTTTTTGGTTAGCTAATGGTACAATTTTTTATATTAATTGCGTTCCACTTTTACTTCTTTTATACATTTCTTACAATTCTATGATTTCTCCAGTTTTTCGATAATTTTTGTCTATAGTTCACAATTTCCATGATTATGCATTTTTTCTTTGTGTAATTAGCAAAATTTTTTTAACCTTTCCCAACGTGGTTTATTTTTTAAATATTTCTTTGCATTTTTGTCAGCTTTTTAATGCCGTTTTCAGTACCGTTAATAATTATTATCGTATCATACGTGAACGTATTAATATGTCTATGGTATTATATATTTTAAATCCCCACTTATGATTATAACTGACTATGCGCATAAGGTAAAATGATACGGCAAATCCACGAATTTCCCCTCATATTAGTAATAAGTTATACCAACTGTAAATTTTAGTTTTATTCATAATATAAAAATCACCAAATAATAATAATAATAATTTAAAAACTGTGAAAATGTCTTAAAAATACTTAAATGTATAACAGAAACGTTTCAATGAAAAATGTATAAACCTAAAAAATTCAAAACAATAAAAAATAGTAAAAATCATATTATAATATAATAATTATATTATAATTTTTTTAAAGAAACTTTCATTGATTAATTTAGGTACTTTATCTTTTAGGTAGTTTTCTTATTATTTCTACAATTGATAGTACTTACATTTTATAATTTAGTTTTTTATATAACTTTTTAAAATTCTATTTTCTTGGTATTATAAAAAAAAATTAATGTTAAAATTGACATTTCTATTTATAAATGTCAAGTTCTACTAAAGATGGTATAATTTTTTGATGCTTTTTTTGGTTGGGTGCATTTTTTGACAAATTTATTATTTCTTTAATTTTTTTTTATAGTTTTAGTGTTATTTTGATGAATTCCACAATTTTAATGGATTAGCCTTTTTAAATTAAAATTTTAGCCCAAAAGTATTGTTTTTTTCTGTTTTTTTGTCAAACTTGGTATTTAAGATTATAAAGTTCTACTGAAGATTTTCAAAAAGATTATCATAATATTAAAAATAACAAACTTTATTAATTTTTTTATATTTTTAATTGCATTCCACTTTTAATTCTTTAATACATTTCTTACAATTCTGTGATTTCTCCAATTTTTCGGTCATTTTTGTCTATATTTCACAATTTTCATGATTATGCATTTTTTTGTATAATTATCAAAATTTTGTAACCTTTCCCAACGTGGTGTACCTATTTTTTAAATATTTTTTTGCATTTTGGTCGGCTTTTTAATTCTGTTTTCAGAAACGTTTCAATGAAAAATTTAAAACAAAATAAAAAATAGTAAAAATCATATTATAATATAATAATTATTTTATAATTTTGAAACTTTAATCTTTTAGGTAGTTCTTTTATTTCTACAATTTATAGTACATTTTGGTGGTTTTTATATAACTTTTTAGTATTATAAAAAAAAATTTTAATGTTAAAATTGACATTTACATTTAAAAATGTCAAGTTCTACTGAAGATGGTACAATTTTTTAATGCATTTTTTTGGTCGGGTAAATTTTTGACAAATTTACAATTTCTCTAATTTTTTTATAGTTTTTGTGTTTTTTTTTGATAAATTCCACAATTTTAATGGATTTGCCTTTTTAAATTAAAATTTTAGGCCAAAAGTATTGTTTTTCTGTTTTTTTTTGTCAAACTTGGTATTTAAATTATAAAGTTCTGCTGAAGATTTTCAAAAACACAGTTTGGAATGTCATAATATTAATAATAACAAACTCTATTAATGGTACATTTTTTTAATTTTTTTAATTGCATTTCACGTTTACTTCTTTAATAAATTTCTTACAATTTTATGATTTCTCCAATTGTTCGGTCATTTTTGTCTATATTTCACAATTTCCATGATTATGCATTTTTTCTTTTTATAATTAGCGAAATTTTGTAACCTTTCCCAACGTGGTGTATTTTTTAAATATTTTTTTGCATTTTTGTCGGCTTTTTAATACTGTTTTCAGTACCGTTAATAAGGTAAAATGATACGGCAAATCCACGAATTTCTCCTCAAATTAGTAATAAGTAATACCAACTGTAAATTTTAGTTTTATCCACAATACAAAAATCACTAAATAATAATAATATTTTAAAAACTGTTAAAATGTCATAAAAATGTATAAACCTAAAAAATTCAAAACAAAATAAAAAATAGTAAAAATCTTATTATAATATAATAATTATTTATTTATTTTTTTAAAGAAACTTTTACTGATTAAATGGGTTTATCTTTTTTATTTATTTATTAACTATATTTATGAAAACTATAGGAACATTTCATTCCTGATAAAAGTTTTTGCTTAATTTCAAACATTCAAAATATGCGACATCGCAAAGTGCCGTGCATTTATGAAAACATAAACCGGCACCTTTTCATTCTCCAGGACTACAACAAAGTCCAGCACCTGGCTTTGCACGCTTTCCACAACACGGAAAACGAGGCGATGCGCGCTGAAAGTTGCTACCAACTTGCGCGAGCCTTCCACGTGCAAGAAGATTTTAACCAAGCCTTCCAGTACTACTACCAGGCCACTCAGTTCGCGCCTGCGCAGTTTGTGCTGCCGCACTTCGGCTTAGGCCAGATCTACATCTACCGAGGCGACGCAGAGAACGCTGCGCAGTGCTTCGAGAAGGTTCTGAAGGCCCAGCCGGGTAACTACGAGACCATGAAGATCCTGGGCAGCCTGTACGCAAACTCCTCGTCGCAGTCGAAGCGGGACATCGCCAAGAGTCACTTGAAAAAGGTGACGGAGCAGTTTCCGGACGACATCGAGGCGTGGATCGAGTTGGCGCAGATCCTGGAGCAGTCGGATTTGCAGGTGTCTTTGAATGCCTACGGGACCGCCATAAACATTCTGAAGAAGGACGTGCAAGCGGAAATACCCACGGAAATTCTCAACAACGTCGGTTCTTTGCATTACAGGTTGGTGGCTTTTATTTTTTTTTAGTTTTTTGTTTATTTATTTTGTCGTTTTTTTGTGTTTTGAAATATTTTCCTAAATATAATAAATCAAAACATATTTTGGATTTAAAGAATTTTAAAAACGCAATTTAGAATGTCAATAAAATACAATTTTTATTTTTTTTATTTCATTTTAGCAATTTGTGTTTTAAAATATTTTTCTAAATATATAACATATTTTGAAATTAAAGAATTTTAAAAACGCAATTTAGGATGTTAATAAAACACGATTTTTATTTTTTTACATTAATTGTTTTTTAATTTCCCCAACATTTTGGCATTCAAGAATTTTAAACAGTTTTTATTTTCGCTATATTTTTTTGTGTTTTGTTATACCTATTTTCCTAAATATATTTTGGCATTTAAGAATTTTAAAAACGCAATTTAGAATGTTAATAAAACACAACTATTTTTACATTAATTTTTTTTATTTCCGACATTTTGGCAACTTTTTTGCGTTTTAAAATATTTTCATAAATATAATATATTAAAACATATTTTTAAATTAAACAATTTTAAAAACGAAATTTAAAATGTTATTAAAGTATTTTTCTAAATAGAATATATCAAAGCATATTTTGGAATTAAAGAATTTTAGAATGTTAATAAAACAAAATTTTATTTTTTTACATTAATTTTTTTTATTCTGCAACATTTCAGCATTTTTTTGTTTTGAAATATTTTACTACATATAATATATCAAAACATATTTTGAAATTAAAGAATTTTAAAAACGCAATTTAATAATAATAATAATAATAATAAAAAAAATATATAACAATTATGTTTTATTAACATTCTAAACTGAGTTTTTAAAATTCTTTAATTCCAAAAGATGTTTTAATATATTATTTTTAGAAAAATATTTCAAAACGCAAAAAAATATTGCTAAAATGTTAAAGAAATAAAAAACATTAATGTAAAAAAACAAAAATTGTATTTTATTAACATTCTAAATTGCGTTTTTAAAATTCTTTAATTCCAAATTTTTTTTTTGATATATTATTTAATTTAGTTTCATTTTATCCAATTATATTTTATTTTACTTTATGATATCTGTACGATTCGATCTTTATGTTTGTTATTAGTTTTCTTAAGTAGCTCTGGGTTAAGTGGTAGAGCAGGGGATATTTTTTTTTATCTATCTGAACTTCGCCCAGACATGTAAATTTTGTAATTTCAGAAATTTAAAAAATAAATAAAGTCATTTATTATTATTTATTATTATTATTATTATTATATTTAAAAAAATATTTCAAAACACTAAAAAATGCTAAAATATTGGAGAAATAAAAAAAATAATTGTGGTTTATTAACATTCTCAATTACGCTTTTACAATTCTTTAATTCCAAAATATGTTTTGAAAATATAATATTATTTAGGAAAATATTTTAAAACAAAAAAAAAGATAAAATGTTGGAAAAATAAAAAAAAATAAAAATTGTGGTTTATTGACATTCTAAATTGCATTTTTAAAATTCTTTAATTCCAAAATATGTTTTGATATTTGTATTTTTCTAAATATAATATATAAAAACATATTTTGAAATTAAAAAATTTTAAAAAAGCAATTTAGAATGTTAATAAAACACAATTTTTATTTTTTTTTGTATGTATTAATTTTTTTAAATTCCTCTAACATTTTAACAATTTTTTGAAATATTTTCCTAAATATAGTACCTATATGAAAACAAGTTTTGGAAATTAGAGAATTTAAATAACGCAATTTAAAATGTTAATTAAACACAATTTTTATTCTTTTTCTATTATTTTTTTTATTTTTGCAACATTTTAGGATTTTTTTTTGTTTTGAAATATTTTCCTAAATATAATTTATCAAAACATACTTTGAAATTAAATAATTTAAAAAACGCATTTTAGAATGTTAGTAAACAATTTTTATTTTTTTACATTAATTTTTTTATTACTGAAACATTATAGCATTTTTTTGTGTTTTGAAATAATTTCCTAAAAATAATATAACATATAATGGAATCCAAGAATTTTAAAAACGCAATTTAGAATGTTAATAAAACACAATTTTTATTTTTTAACATTAGTTTTTTTGTGTTTGAAATATTTTCCTGAATATAATATATCAAAACATATTTTATTTTAGCATTTTTTTGTGTTTTAAAATAAATTCTCAAATATAACATATCAAAACATACACTCACATGTAAAATAATCGATCCACACAAATTTTCGATGAATTTCAATCGCAAATAACTTTTTTATTTGATTTCGGATTTAAACGAATATTAAAGAATATTGTTCATAAATTATTGGACAATCGCTCACATTTAAAAAAAAATACTAAAAAATAGACGTACGTTTATAATATACAGGTTTAAACAAAAATATGTTTTTTACCATAAGTTTCAGACACTCTGTAGAGTGGCAAAACCGTATATTGTTCTAAATTAAGTTTTAATTATCAAGTCACATCTATTTTTAACAGTTTTGTTTTTGGTTCACCTTGATATGTTTATTTTTGTGGAAAATGTGGATTTTTTTTAAAAACATTGCAATTTCCAATATTTTTCCTGTATGAAGAACTAAGGTTGCTATGGTCCATCCATAGGCTATGGAGAATGACATTGACAGTTTTGTTGAATCATCCCATACTTGGACATGTCATATGCAGCTTTCAAAAGCTATCAAATTGTTTTTTGCAAATTAATGTTATGGTAAAAAACATGTTTTTGTTTAAACCTGTATATTATAAACGTACGTCTATTTTTTAGTATTTTTAAAAAATGTGAGCGATTGTCCATTAATTTATCTACAATATTCTTTAATATTCGTTTAAATCCGACATCAAATAAAAAAGTTATTTGCGATTGAAATTCATCGAAAATTTGTGTGGATCGATTATTTTGCACGTGAGTGTAGAACGTTAAAAACAGACGCGTTTTTTAACCTTCCAGGCTGGGCAACTTGGAAGAGGCCAAGAAAAACCTGGAGGAAGCCCTGTCGCGCGCCATTTTCGAAGCCTCCGAGCACGACGCGCAATACTACAACTCGATATCGGTCACCATAACCTACAACCTCGCGCGACTGAACGAAGCCCTGTGCTTGTTCGACAAATCCGAGAAGCTCTACAAAGACATCATAAAAGAGCACCCCAACTACGTCGACTGCTACCTCAGATTAGGGTGCATGGCTCGAGATAAGGGGCACATCTACGAGGCATCCGATTGGTTCAAGGAAGCCCTCAAAATCAATACAGAACACCCTGATACTTGGTCGCTTTTGGGCAACTTGCACTTAGCGAAAGGGCAGTGGGGTCCGGGTCAAAAAAAATACGAGAGGATCCTCAAAAACCCTCTAACCTCTCAAGACTCGTATTCTCTAATAGCCCTGGGTAACGTTTGGCTTCAGACTTTGCACCAACCGACGAAAGACAAGGATAGAGAGAAGAGGCACCAAGAGAGGGCGCTCTCGATGTTCAAGCAGGTTTTGAAAATCGACCCGAAGAATATCTGGGCCGCCAACGGTATAGGCTCCGTTTTGGCGCACAAGGGGGCGGTGAACGAGGCCAGGGACATTTTCGCGCAGGTGCGCGAAGCCACGGCGGACTTCTGCGACGTTTGGTTGAACATTGCGCACGTCTACGTCGAGCAGAAGCAGTTTGTTAGCGCCATACAGATGGTAAGTATAGTATAGTATTAGACTAGTTCAAAAAAATCGAATATTTTTTTTATTCAAAGCCCGCATTGAAATATCTTCCTAGTAGTGAAAAAAGAAGCCTGTGAAAATTGTAGCTCTTAATATTAATATTTGGAGGTCGCTCACCGTGAATTTATATTTTACGTTTAAATAACACAGGAATTCTTTTTTCTTAACTTTGAAATTTTATAACTCATTTTTGAGTGAACATATTGGAATAAGCGACACATATTTTTAAAGAAAATTGAACGCTTTACAAAAAATGTCTCTTATTTTTTTGAACGTTTTCAGTACGAGAATTGCCTGCGGAAGTTCTTCAAGTACAACCAGGTGGAGGTGCTTCAGTACCTGGCCAGGGCCTACTACAAGGCCAACAAGCTGAAGGAGGCGAAGATGATTCTTCTGAAGGCCAGGAGGGTTGCGCCGCAGGATACGGTGTTGCTGTACAACATCGCGTTGGTTTTGCAGCGTTTGGCGACGTACGTTTTGAAGGACGAAAAGTCGACGTTGCAGACCGTCTTGCAGGCGGTGCACGAGTTGGGGCTTTCGCAAAAGTGAGTTTATATTTTTTAACAATTATTATATTTTTTCTATGCATTTTTTATGTTTTTTACATTTCTATAATTTTATTTAGTATTAATATTAATTAATACTTGTTACTTTTTATTTTTTTCGGGTTTATAAGATTAAACATTTTTGGCAATAAAAATGTTTTTTCCTATTTTGTGTATAAATTTTTATTTTATTAGTAGGTATTCATAAATTTAAATTTTTTGTGTTTTGATATATTTTTCTAAATATAATATATCAAAACACATTTTGAAATATAAAAAATTAAAAAACGCAATTTAGAATGTTATTAAAACACAATTTTATTTTTTTACATTATTTTTTTTATTTTTCCAACATTTTAGCAATTTTTTTCTAATTATAAAATATTTTTTCCAAATATAAAATATCAAAACATATTTTGGAATTAAAGGATTTTAAAAATGTTAATAAAACAATAATTATTTTTTTATTTTCTTTTTTTTATTTCTTTAATATTTTACTAATATTTTTTTTTTTGAAATATTTTCCTAAAACAAAACATATTTTGGAATTAAAGAATTTTAAAAACGCAATTTAGAATATTAATAAAACACAATTTTATTTTTTACATTAAATTTTTTTATTTTTCCAACATTTTAGCAATATTTTTCTAAATATAATATATTTTCGTAAATATAATATTTGGAATTAAAGAATTTTAAAAACGCAGTTTAGAATGTTAATATATCTCTAATATACACAATTTTTAAACTTTTGACATTAATTTTTTTTATATTTCTCCAAAATATTAGCTTTTTTTGTGTTTTGAAATATCTTTCCAATTATAAAATATCAAAACATATTTGGGAATTAAAGGATTTTAAAAATGTTAATAAAACAATAAATATTTTTTTTACTTTATTTTTTTTTTATTATTTTACTAATATTTTATTTGTTTTGAAATATTTTCCTAAAACAAAACATATTTTGGAATTAAAGAATTTCAAAAACGCAACTTAGGATGTTAATGAAAAACAATTTTTAAATTTTTTACATCAATTTTTTTTATTTTTCCAAAATATTAGCGTTTTTTGTGTTTTGAAATATTTTTCCAATTATAAAATATCAAAACATATTTTGGAATTAAAGGATTTTAAAAATGTTAATAAAACACAATAATTATTTTTTTTACTTTCATTATATATAATTTTTTTTTGGAATATTTTCCTAAAACAAAACATATACCTATTGGAATTAAAGAATTTTAAAAACGGAATTTAGAATATTAATAAAACACAATTTTTATATTTTTTTGCAATTTTTGTTTCAAGATTTGTTTTTTCTTTATATGAAGGAAAAACGAAAAATATCTTAAAATTTTAACACCCTGTAGATCGGTAATAAAGGGTTTGCTGACCTATTTTTGTGTGAATTTTTAAAATCCATATGAACATGATATTTAGGAATATACAGTGTGTCACAAAACAGTTTTTTTTTACGCGTTTTGCAGAAAAAAGTAATTATTCGCTTATTTAAAAAATTATATTCCCATAAAAAAAATTCTGGATCCAACGTACTGAGTGCTCAGAAATTAAGAAAACATTCTTTAAAAAAATCTTCAATATTTTATTGAATAATTTTTTAGGAGAATTTCTTGGAAAATTGAAATTAAACTCTAAATTCGAAATAAAACATTTTTATTTTATTTTTACAAAAAAAATTAAAATTAAATTTTAATTTTCTAATTTACTGTACATTTAAGATATTTTTTAAATAAGCAGTAGTTTTTATGAAGAATGACTTTTTTTCGTAAAACGCATAATAAAAACTTTATTTTGAATTTTTTTTTATATTATTTTCTTGTTTATTTTTTCTATAAATTTTGACGTGTTTTATAAGATTTTGTTTAATTTTAAAGTTTTTTCACTCCTATTGCAAAATATTGTTTTTTTTCGTTAAAAAATTCCCTGCCATCTTTTTAAATAAGCAGGAGTTTTTAAAGGGAATGATTTGTTTTTCGTAAAACGCATACTAAAAAAATATTCTATTGGCAACCCCACTATATTTTTAAATTTGTCTTTTTTTTTGTTATTATTTTTAAAAATTTTAACGCGTTTTTATTTTTAAAGTTTTTTTTACAAATTTTATTTTTTTATAATTGTTTTTATATAATTATTATATAAGAGCAGCGGATTTTAAATTGGGAGAAGGCGACTATAATAACATTTAAAATGGATAAAAAGTGTTTAACATTTGTCAGATGTTATTTATTTATTTTTGAAAATTATTAAATTACACTCAAGATAATGCGCATTATTTCTCGTATATTATAGCATTTTTATACTTTTTATATGATTTTGTATATTTTTCATTTTACATTTACATGATTTTATTATACACATCTATGTTTTTTTACAATTTTCGTATTGTTTTATGTTCTTGGCAATTATTTTTGTTTTTTTTTTCTATAAATTTTAGATTTATTTTGGGAATTATTTCATGAAAATATTATTATTATTATTTTTATTACATTATTCCAATAAGCTTATAGCTTGTCTAGTCATTAATATACAGACTGTATAGAATCAAGTAAGTAAGGCTGGAGACAAGGATGACAAATTATATTCTGATCAGAGAAAAAGAAACAAACTTTAATTGGGCGTGGTTTAAACCAAGCCATTCGTAATTACGAACCATAGTTGCCAGGTTGTTTTAAATCAGAAGAGAACGATTACAATTATTTAATAAATAGTTCAATTTTATTTGTTTGAAACTTTAAAAATAACAAAAAAATTAATAATATGTCAAAAATAATTTTCTTACTTTTAATATTAAAAAATAAGAAAAACAACCCTTTTAGGAAACAATAATAGCATATGGCAACAGCGCGGCATGCAGCCAGATACAAGGGCATGCAGTTTTGTTCAGTAGCTCCGACGCTGTCGTAGGGAAATGTGTATAGTTTTTAAGAAATACATTTTCGCCATTAACTGGAATTTAATGGATTTTAAACAATACTTAGTTTTTATTTGCAGAAATGCATTAAAACAAAACAAACGAATTCGATAAAAATAAAACCTATAAATTCTCAAACAAAAATAATTCTAAAATAACGAAAATACCTTCAATCCCTACGACAGTGGGCGGGGTTTGGCACTTGTTTTATTTAAGTGTATCTATTCGTTTTACTACACACTGTATAAATGTTTTAAATTTCAAATCACTTTACCCTTCTTATATTTATCATAATGGAACTTTCTTTCCATTATCTCCTTTCATCTATTACATTCCAAACATTTACATCCATATCTCCTTTGAAAAAAACTTCCTCTTTAAACTACGAAATTCCATATTTGATTACAACCAATTTTGACATTATCATTTACATTATTCGTCTTTCGATGCTCCCTCGAAGATTCTCGTGTTGATTTCCCTTGGCACTTCAGGTACTTCACGTATCTGGCCGAATTCGGCGACAAGATGCGCTACGACGTCACTTTGGCGGGCATGGAGGCGCGCCAGTGCAAAGATCTGCTCTCGCAAGCGCAGTACCACGTGACCAGAGCCCGAAGGGTGGACGAGGAGGAGAGACTGCTGCGGAGGAAGCAGGAGGACGAACGCACCGCGTTCAAAATGCGACAGATCGAGGAGCAGGTACTAATTTTTGTTTTTCGGTGCTGTTCTGAGAGGTGATTTTTGGACTTTCTGTGAAACCTAATTTTTTTTATATTCTCGTTAATTAGGTCATAATTAAAATTTTAAGAGCAAAAAAAAAAAATTTGACGGTTTGAATTGTTTTAATTGGCTGTTTATTAAAAATATTATGCACTCTTTCAATTCTCCAATTAAAACTTGCGATTTTATTTAAATATTATCATAACTTTTTAAATCACATTAAAGCTTAGTTAATTTCCTAATGAAAGGTCTATACAATTTTTATATCTTTTACTGTTTTGTTGTAATACACGTTTAAAGTTTTAATTTAAGGTTAAATGTATAGTATACATTTATTAAACAATAATTCTAAGGGTGCCACATTTTATTTAGGGCCGATTTATTAATTTTTGATTTATTTGACGAATAATTTCTTTGGATACTAGATATTGCCAAGACAAGAAAGTTATCGGCCCGATAAACTTTACTGAAGATGAATAAACCGGTCCTTAGTTAAATTTCATGAATTTCTTCGTAACTTTTACTACAATTTTTCATTTTTGTTTATAAAAAACACTTTAAAAAACTAAACAAAAATTATTGAATACGTATACTGAAAATGACAATTCAAACGTCAAATAAATTTTTAATAGATCTAAGTTTCATGGCAACCTTTAAGGATATATTAATTAAGGGAACATAAATGTATACGTCAAAGGTTAGATTAAAAGTTTGAACGTTTATTGCAACAAAACAGTAAAATATATAAAAAAAATTGTAAAAACCTTTTTTTTAGTTATGCAAATATTAAATATTTAAATTAAATCGCTAGTTTTAATTGGATAACTGAAAGAGTGCGTAATATTTTTAATAAACAGCCAATTAAAAAATTCAAACCGTCAAATTTTTTTTATTTTGCTCTTAAAATTTTTGTTATGAGCTAATTAACAAGAATGTATGGTGTCTTGAACGTGATTTTTTCCCTTAGAAAAAACGCGAGGAGGAGAGCCGCCAAACGAAGCAGCAGATGCTGCAGAAGCGCGAAGAATACAAAGAGAAAACCAAAAACGCGCTTCTCTTCATGGACATGCCGCAGGAGAAGAAGAAGGGGAAGAACAAGGGTAAAGACTACGTCTCGGATTCAGACTCTGGGCGGGAGAACCGCGGGGAAGGCGGGGAAGCAAGGGAACCCCGGGAAAAACGTCCGAAGAAGGAGAGGGGAGGAGGGAAGCGGAAGTCCAGCAAAGGCGGACGGAAGCGCAAAGGCAGGAGCGACGATTCGGGTTCGGATAACGGGCACAGCAAGAAGAAAAGGGGCAACAAAGGGAAGTCGGCTAGGGACACCAAAAGGGACGAGGGTCTCAGTCAGAAGCAAAAAAGCCGGATCGTGTCTAAAGCGACGATTTCCAGCAGCGACGACGACAGCGACGATGGCAAGCTTAAAATTGCCAGCGGGGACGAAAGCGACGCAGGAAACGCCGGAAGGAAGAGAAGGATCTCTTCCGGTTCGGAATCGTCGAGATCTAGATCCAGATCAAGATCCAAAAGCGGTTCTAGATCGAGATCCAGATCTAGATCCAAAAGCGGCTCTAGATCGAGATCAAGATCCAAGAGCGGCTCTAGATCGAGATCCAGATCCAAGAGCGGCTCTAGATCGAGATCCAGGAGCAAATCTGGTTCCAGATCCAGATCTAGATCCAGATCGCGCAGCAAATCGGGCTCCAGATCGAGATCCAGATCCAAAAGCGGTTCCAGAAGTAAAAGTAGGTCGAGAAGTAAGTCGGGATCCAGGTCCAAGTCTAGATCCAAATCCAGGTCCAAGTCGAGGTCTAAGTCTAGATCCAAGTCGAGGTCTAAGTCTAGATCCAAGTCGAGGTCTAAGTCTAGATCCAAGTCGAGGTCTAAGTCTAGATCCAGGTCTAAAAGTAAGTCTAGGAGTAGGTCTAGAAGCAAGTCGAGTTAAATTTATTTATATTATTATTTGTCTATAAAATGTTTTTCTAAGGTTCTCCAAAGTTTAAACAAACAATTTGAACTATTCAAATTTTTAGTTTTTAAATTTTTAAAAACTGGATTTCCCCAAAATGTTTAAAATTATGTAAATTATCAAATTTTGAACAGTTTGTAAAATGTTTGGTTTTTAAATTTTTAAAAACTGGGAACTCTTCAAAATGTTTAAAATTTTGTAAATTATCAAATTTTCCAGAAATTTACAAAATTTTGTAATTTTAATTTTTTTTTAATTTACAAAATTTTGAACAATTTGTAAAGTTTTCAGTTTTTAAATTTTTTAAAACTGGAAAGTTTTCAAAATGTTGAAAACTATGTAAGTTATCAAATTTTTTCGAAATTTACAATATTTTGAACAATTTGTAAAATTGTTCAGTTTTTAAATTTTTAAAAACAGGAATTTTTTTCAAAATGTTGAAAATTATGTATATTAACAAATTTTTTCGAAATTTACAATATATTAAACAATTTCTAAAATGTTCAGTTTTTAAATTTTTATAAACTGTAAAAAAATTGTAGATTTTCAAATTTTTTCTAAATTTACAAAATTTTAAACAATTTGTAAAATGTTCAGTTCTTAAATTTTTAAAAACTGGAAATTTGTAAATTCTTCAAAATTTTGAAAAATTTATAAAATTTTTAGTTTTTAAATTTTTAAACACAGTAAATTTTTGTTTTAACAATTTGTAAAATATTCAATTTTTAAATTTTTCAAATTCTCTAAATTGTTTTAAATAAATTTTTTGTAAATTCGAAGTTTTAAAAAAAATTGTCTAAAATGTTTTAAATAAAATTCATAAAATTTTAAACAATTTGTAAAATTTCTCGTTTTTAAATTTTAAAACTGGATTTTTCAAAATTTAGAGAATTTTTTAAAACTGGAATTTTTTTCAAATTTTGGAATATTTCGATAATTTCAAACTTTTGGAAATTAATGTAATATCAAAACTTTGGAAATGTTTTTCTAAAATTCTTCAAATTTTTAAAACCGAAAATTTTCAAAATTTCCAAAATTTGGAGAATTTCCAGTTTTTAACTTTTAAAAATTGGAAATTTTTCAAATTGTTTTAGAAAATTTCAATTTTTTTGTAAATTTATGAAAAATTAATTTTCACTTGCAATAGATTTCTAACTAAAGTTAGAAAGATACATTTTTAAAAAAAGTGTAAAGCCACAAATTTAAAATGTGGTTAGGTACTTTTAAATTTTGTTAGGATCTCGACTTTTTGGTCCAAAAGTATGCTTTTCTTACATACCTACATATAAAATATAAACAAGTATTTTCTTCCATAAACTGTATAAAGAAGAAATTCTTTAAATGATTAATGGACCAACAAATAATAAAACTATTTTTATGTAAATATATTTTTAAGTGAATATTTTACTTGTTATTTAGTTTACTGTGACGAAAAAATGTTTGTTGGGTCATTAAATATCAACCATAATATATTCAGACTTTATTGTGTAAAACATGTAATAACAAAACAAAAAATAAACACATCTTAAATCTTAAAAACCTTTCATTTGTTTTAAAAATTCCTTGGTTACAAAATATTAGGTACAAGAACAACTAGTAAGTATAATATAATATTAATAATTACTTAATTGGTATAATAATTATTGCGTAGATTAGATTCATTTATAAAATATATTTAGCAGTTTTAAATTATCATTATTGGTAGACAAGTTACATTATAATATTTTATTGGGGTTATTAATATTGTCTACAGAGTGGTGCAAAATCTCAGTCAATTGAAGTATTAAAAATCGTTGTTTTTTATTGTTATAAAAAATCAATATCAAAATTATCCTTTATTATGTGGAATTATTAAAATGTTACTTTTATTATTTTTAATTGCAAAGTTCTGCTGGACTCTCAATTAACTTAAATTGACTAAAAATGTTACTTAAAAAAACGTTTTGTTTTTTCACTGTAACTTAAAAAGTTCTTAGGTTTGGCCAAAATAAAAATTTTACTTATATCACTAAATTCTTAACAACAAAAATTGTTTTTTTAAGTTTTTTTTGGAGAATTCAATTAAATTTTTAGTTTGGCATAATCTAACAAATTTTCTGGTTACAGTGAAAAACGACATCGTTTTTTTAACATCCTATGTGCCTGTTATATAAAATTTATTTAATTGTGATTGCCATTATTTCTTTATTATCACCTTTTTATAGGCGTATAAAAATTGATCCCAGTGACTCAGTTCTGGTTTATTAACTCGAAAAAAAAAACAAATATCATATAACTACTATGTTATTGTTTATATTTAGACAGAGTCTGACAAATGTCAAAACATATTTTTTTAATTCTCCAAAAAAAATTGTAAAATGTTCAGTTTTTTAATTTTGAAAACTAGATCTTTTTTAAGTTTTTGAACATTTAAAAAAATTGAAATTTACAAAATTTTGAAGAATTTGTAAAATATTCAGCTTTTAAATTTACAAAAAACTTTGTAAAATTTTATACATTATCAGTTTTTGGAAGTTCTCCAAATTGTTTTAAATATTAAAAATTTTGAAATTTTGTAAATTTTTGTAAATTTGAAGTTTAAAAAAAAATCTAAAATGTTCAAAATTTCGTAAATTATCAAATTTAATCGAAATTTACAAAAAACAATTTGTAAAATGTTCAGTTTTTAAATTAAAAAAAACTGTAACTGTAAAATTTGGAACCTTTCCAAATATTTCCAGTTTTTAAAAATTTTCCAAATTGTTTTAAATATTGAAAATTTCAAGAAAATTTTAAAAAAATTGTCTAAAACTTTTAAAATTATCAAACGTGTTAACTTGTAAAATGTTCAGTTTTTTTAATTTAAAAATTTTGAACAATTAACGAAATGTCCAGTTTTTAAAAATTCTCCACATTGATATAAGTTTTGAAAAATTACGAAATTTATGAAATTTGTTTTGAAAAAAATTGTCCAGAATGTTCAAAATTATCAAATTTGTTCGAAATTTACAAAATTTTTATCAATTTGTAAAATGTTTACTTTTTATATTTAAAAATACTAAATTTTTCAAAATTCGAAAATTTCAAAGTTTTGGATATATTTGTAAATTTAAAAAAAAATTGTATAAATTGTTTAAAATTTTGAAAATTATTAAATTGGTTCGAAATTTACAAAACAATTTGTAAAATGTTCAGTTTTTAAGTTAAAAAACGAAAATTTTTCAAAATTTCGAACATTTAGAGAAATTTCCAGTTTTTAAGAATTCTCCACATTGTTGTAAATAAAGTTTATTATTATTATTATTATTAAATTTGGATAAATTTTGAAATTTTTTTTGTTCAATGTTCAAAATTTTGTAAATTATCAAATTTGTTCGAAATTTACAAAATTTCGAACAATTCGTAAAATGTTTAGTTTTTATATTTAAAAATACTAAATTTTTCAAAAGTTTTGGGTATAAGTTTAAAAAAAATTGTATAAATTGTTCAAAATTTTGTAAATTATTAAATTTGTTCAAAATTTACAAAACTTTAAACGATTTGTAAAATGTTCAGGTTTTAAATTTAAAAATCTGTAATCTTTTCAAAATTTCGAACATTTATAAAAGTTTCCAGTCGATAAAAATTCTCTAAATTGTTTTAATTTTGAAAAATTTTGGAATTATTTGTAAATTCGAAGTTTTAAAACAAATTGTCTAAAATTTTCAAAATTTTGAACAATTTGTAAAATGTTTAGATTTTAAATTTAAATAAACTGGAAATCTCCAAATTCGAAAATTTTGTAAATTTTTGTAAATTCGAAGTTTAGAAAAAAAAAATTTTAAATGTATTTCTAAAATTCATCATTTTCAATACTGAAAATGTTCAAAATTCCAAATTTGGAATTTTTAAAATTTCCGTTTTAAATTTAAAAACTGGAATTTTTTCAAATCTTTTCGAAATTTCAAAATTTTGTTTAAGAATATCAGTAGGCGCTGTCTAAATATACGAAATAACCCTTTTTTATAAAACTTGTGTTGAAAATACTATTGTGCTTTTTTACTATGGAAGCGATATGTGATAACATATAAACTACATTTTGTGCAGCATTACGTTATAAATACGGTGAAAGTTGTTATTTTCAGGACCTACAAAAAACCTGATTGATTTGACGAAATGAACCATTAAAATCACTAAATATATCTCAAACGTATGAATCCATAAAATTCGTCGATGTGCGCGTAGGAGCGTTACACATGTACTATGTACTCGTCGTATTAGTGTCCAGAACGTCATGGCTACCGTAAAACGACGTAAAAGTCGTGTTTGTACTGTGACTGAGCGGAAAAGTGTCGTTACTGTTGAGGGTACCGAAAGTCGACAGTATTTCGGCAGCATTCCTTTCAGGGCTGTCCGTTATCATGTGCTCACGCAGTTGACATTCAGACCTAATAATACAATAACAAATAAAACAAGACACCTTTATTGACCGTTTGTTTTTATTACATTACCTGGTTGTGGAGTTGTTAAGTTCCGTGTTTTGATTGGCAGGCGTTCGTTGAGCCGCCATTGGTGTTTGTTTTATCGCGTAAATATAAACCCCGGTCATAGAGAGCGTATAAGATAGAAAATATAAGGCGTGAAACTAAAACAGAAAACACGTTTTTAGTTTCTAAAATAATTGAGTTTAACTCAATGAGTTATTGAAACACTTAGTTGGCGGTGCATCATTCACTACAAGGTCAAACGGCAGTGCACTCAAAATAGAACCTTGCGGAACTTTTTTGTTGCACCTACTTACCTTATAATTAAACAGTAGTATTCCTACTATGAGTGTATAAAAATTTCCCGACAAAAGGGACAAATGTAAGGCTGTCGTTCCCATGTTCAGTAAAAATACCGATGAAAACGTACAGAACATGAATTGGCAGGCTGAAAATGTCGATATTAACGCACTAGAGCTCCTCCAATTCGAAGAAATTAACGTTTGTTTTTCCAAGAGAAACCTACAAATCACAGCTGGTTACCAAACAAGTGCGGAAAGTGTATACTTTACGCACGCTTGTTTTTTTTTAATTTTGGGGGAAAATTATACAGAATATACTAAATAAATTGTTATGTGAAATTATAAGAAAGTAAAAATTTAACTCAAAAAATGTATAATTTTTTGCACAAGTTACTTTCGGAAAAAAATATGTTAATATAAGGCGTTGAATTATTTATTTAATGTAATTTTTCTGTGTGTAAAATTTTTGTGACATATTATCATTTAACTTAATATTTCTTACACAATTAAAAAGTAAAACGACGTGCCATAATTAATTTTGTGTGTACGTTTAATTTTAATTCTAATAAAAAAATTACAATTAATTTTGTGTACACATAAAATTAATTCACTAAATTTTTATTTTGTAATTAAAATTGAGATTTTATAAAAAATATTAGAATTAATTTTATGTGTATTCTCCAAATTCTGTAAATTTTTGTAAAAAGTTCTGAACAAAAATTGTCTAAAATGTTCAAAATTGTGTAAATTGTCAAATTTGTTCGAAATTCACGAAATTTTGAACAATTTAAAATTTTTTTAAAATTTTGAACATTTAGGAAAATGTCCAGTTTTTAAAAATTGTCCTAATTGTTTTAAATTTTCAAAATTTTCAAAATTTACGAAATTTTTGTAAATTTGAATTAAAAAAAAATTGTCAAATTTATTCGAAATTTATAATTTGTAAAATGTTCAGTTTTTAAATTTTAAAAAACTGGACATTTAAATTTTGAAATATTGAACATTTAGGAACATGTCCAGTTTTTCAGAATTCTCCAAAATTGTTTTAAATTTTGAAAAATGTCGAAAATTTCAAAATTTTGCAAATTTGGTAAATTTAAAATTTTAATTTTGTAAATTATCAAATTTGTTCGAAATTACAAAATTTTAAACAATTTGTTAAATGTTCAGTTTTTAAATTTAAAAAAAACTGGACCTTTTTCAAAATTTTGAAATTTTGAACATTTAGAAAAATGTCCAGTTTTTAAAAATTCTCCAAAATGTAATAAAAAATTATACAATTAATTTTGTGTCCACATAAAATTAATGCACTGAATTTTTATTTTGTAATTAAAATTATGATTTTATAATAAAAAAGTTAGAATTAATTTTATACATATACACATGTGTATTCTCCAAATTGTTTTAAATTTTAAAAAATTTCGAAAATTTTGGAAATTTACATAAATTCGAAGTTAAAAAAAAAGGTCTAAAATGTTCTAAATTTTGTAAATTAAGTATCAAATTTGTTCGAAATTCACAAAATTTTGAACAATTTGTAAAATTTTCAGTATTTAAATTTAAAAGAACTTAATATTTCAAAATTATGAAATTCGCCAAAATTGTTTTAAATTTTGAAAAATTTCGAAAATTTTGGAAATTTTTGTAAAAAGTTTTGGTCAAAATTGTCTGAAATGTTTAAAATTTTGTAAATTATCAAATTTGTTCGAAATTCACAACATTTTGAACAATTTGTAAAATGTTCAGTTTTTAAATTTAAAAAAACTGAATATTTTAAAATTTTGAACATCGAAAATTTCAAAATTTTGGTAAATTTGAAGTTTCAAAAAATTGTCTAAAATGTTCAACATTTTGTAAATTATCAAATTTGTTCGAAATTTACAAAATTTTAAACAATTTGTAAAATGTTCAGTTTTTAAATTTAAAAAACTGGACATTTCAGAAACAATTAAAATTATGAAAAATTCTATAATCCATAAAAACCTATTTCAAGTTTCTTTTAAATGTAAAAATTTACGATTTAAAAGTGAAATGGCGCGCCATATTAGTAGTAAAGAAATATTTGTTATTCTGACTACTTACATCTGTAACCCGCTTATGATGCTTCCAAAAAGTCCCAACAATCCCAAATATTCAACAATATCGGTAGTTTTTACTGACAACTCTTGCAAAACAGTAACAATCGCAAACAAAACCGACCCTCCCAAGCATAACATATCTCCAACCAACTGATTTTTACCTAAAAATGAGGTTATAAAACAACAAATCGCCATCTAGTTCGTAGCGTCCAAACCACAAATTACAGTCACCTGTATGTAGGCTTTTGCACACACACCCTGTATATTACATACCATCAATTTTGGTGTCCTCAATATTAACCCAAACTAGGCAACCAACACCCATGAGGCAAACGGAAACTGCAAGAATGTGCACCATACGATAACGAACCCCCAGTACGAGACAACTCAGAGCTAACGCCACTGGAATGGCCACACAACCCAACAACTGAGAAAAAAGTATTATTTAAGACTTTTAATCGTTTTAATGCACAAAAAACACGTTTTTAACATCTCACACAGCAGGCCATGCATTAACTGTCATATTGTTGCCATGGCAACATAAACAAAGCAACTGACATTTCTAAAATCATTTTAATGCACAAAAAACACGTTTTTTAACATCTCACACAGCAGGCCATGCACTAACTGTCATATTGTTGCCATGGCAACATAAACAAAGCCAACTGTCAATTCTAAAACAAAAGCGAGCAGCCCCAACCTGTATGCTTGTCAGAGTGGTAAATTGGTGTGCCGTACTCAATAGAGTGTTGGCTTGAACATCTATAAGGCAAAGCAAAAGATATCGCCAACCTCTACACTTAATAACGGAGATAAGGCCTTTTTCTCCTCTTCGAAATGCCAGCCAGCTGGTGTAAATGGCACACAAGAACATGTAGTGTGGGAAGCTTTGTCCCGTGGGCAAAACTGAGCTTGAGTTTGAGTTCACGTAGTGTGCCAAAGTGTTTATTCCGCACAATATTATCGACAGAAACTGACCCAGAATTATGTTTTGCCATACTTCCCTGCAAAATAGTATTTCAAAACCAAAATAAGCTTAAAAAACACAGTAAATTACCATTTTCCTAATTCGGACAGGTTGTATCCTATTTTATCACAAAAACCGAGGGAGTCTCCCATTTTTTGGTCAATTCATCACAGTTATTTCAAAATAAATTATGCAAGCTTTAATAAAGAAGGGCGGGGCTCCCCTAATAAACCACCCCATATTTATTTTGAAATCGCCGCGCAAGTTTTGTGCGCACATTACAGGTTTCTGTATCACCCACAATGTTGCCAACCCTATAATGATAATTAAAGTAAAACAGCTGTGTTTGTTCTGAGAAAGGATTCATACAAATCAATGTAAGCACAAAGTTATTAAGTATTTTATAAAGTACTATACCAACCAAGTTTAATCACAAATTAATAAATACGCGAGGAAAACACAAATCCACTAGCGACACCTATCGACTGTTAAACAATCCATCCCCTATATTTTTACAGAAAACTTAGATATTAGGCAGCCCACGTTACATATACCTAATTCAAACTACATAGTATGTTTATTATTTATACAGGGTGCATCAATAATTAGGTTAACAAAATAGAATAAATTTCAAAGAGAAACACATTTAGCAAGATTGCAATCTTGGACATAATGATAATAGATGGCGATAGCTACTAAAGAGTTTAAATTTAATGGTGCTAAAAATTATTATTGCGATTATTTTTACATACGAACATTTATCGGTGTAAGTTGTTAAATAGTTTTCAGAACAAACAATGTTTTTATATATCAAACAGTTATTAATTCTGGCTTTCCTGATTTGGATGGCATTTACTAAAGTAGAAAGCTGTGCCTGTGATGGTTCAAATTGTAATTAATTAATTATTTTTATGTATTTAATTTTTATTTATTTGTATCCAACAGGTCACAGAGGGCTCATACAAAGTAATTGGGGGATGTATGGACATTAAATGTCTAGCAAAACAGATTTTGGCCAATAAAAAGTGTGACTGCATATTTAAAATTATGATTTTTTAAATAAATATTTCGCAATGTCAAACTATCTTTATTTTTTGATAAACAATCTTAAAACAAAACCCTATATTTTTACAATTCACAGTACTTTTATAACGAGCTATTATAATCATCTGTAAAACTTGACAGACTCTTTTTTGACAGTTGCGGGAAACTTGTCCCAATGACATTGAAAGCTGTAGACAGCCAATGACAATGAAAACTGTAGACAGCCACATCATCAAGTTATTTATTTTGGCATTTTGTATTGTTTGGGAGATAAACAATTACAATAATTGTAACACCAATATACAATGTGTCCCTAAATGTGTGTGCAAAATAATAGAACATATTGCGAGACCGAAATAATGCGATATAACTAATTTATGGTCATAAAATTAAAATAAATTTAATGAAATAAAAAACAAATAGCAAGTAAATGGAGCATTTCGTTAGATTTTAATTAAAATTTGATTATTTTTATTATATTACATAAAACTGTTTAACATATACTAAGAAAAAAAACTTTATTCAGTTTAATTATTCCATTAATGACACTTTACTTGAGCGAAAGACTAAAGAAAAAGACCTGGGCATAACCTTTGATAATGAACTATCTTTTAACAACCATATAAATAACATAGTTGTTCAAACGTCTAAAACCTTAGGATTTATAGTTCGAAATTGTAAAGATTTTAATAATATTGATGCTTTGAAGCTTTTGTTTAACTGCCTAATTAGGTCTAGGCTCGAGTATGGTGTTTTAATTTGGTTTCCTTTTTATGCATGTCATGTCCAGCGTATCGAGGCTGTCCAGAGAAAGTTCTTGAAGTATCTCGCTTATAAGGAGGATCGAATTTACCCTGAAAGAGGCATAGACAATAATTACTTATTAAATAGATTCTCTCTGGATTCTTTGCAGGATCGCAGAAATAGAATTGCGTTAAATTTTATTTATAATCTATGTAACAATAAAATAGACTGTCCATTTTTATTAAGTTCTTTAAAATTCTTAGTGCCAAGATTTAACTCAAGAAACTCTGATACTTTTTATCTTCTAGCACCAAGAACTAATGTAATGCAATGCTCACCTATATTTAGAATATGTACTTTGTTTAATAGCATAAGTGATATATGTGATATTCACAATAGTCCCCTATCATATATTATTGAATGTTTTTTTGGCAGATTTTAATTTATCTGAAATGTTGTTCATTGTTTATTTTACTGTACTGTTAATAACATTTCCTGTAATTGGGTGTATTCCTGTTGGAAATAAATTATTATTATTATTATTATTATTATTATAAAACATGTTTTTTTTTTGATAAAATTAAAAATCGATTTTCTATAGAATATACAAATCCCTGGAACTTTTTTTGCAGATTTTATGTTAAGGAAATAAATAAAAACAAAACTTGTCAATGTGAAAGAATGTATATGTACCTATTTAAAAAGTTTTACATCTATAGATGTAATACTTTTGAAATATTTACTTTTTTAGTTTAGTACTCCTGGATCAAAATATTCACTTTTGTGAAATATTGGCTTATTTTTACCTTACCTACCGCAGAATCCGAATTAGTCGAATTAGTTATTTAAAATTATATAAATTTCTTAAACACGCAACCAAAATAAACATTTAGCAACATTTGGCATAATGATAATAGATGGCGATACCTACTAAAGAGAGTTTAAAGTTAATGGTGCTAAAAATTATTATTACGATTATTTTATGTATATATATACCAACATGTATCGGTGTAAAAATAGTTGTTAAATCGTTTTTCGAGCAATATAAAAAATGTTTTTATATATCAAACAGTTTTTAATTGTGGCTTTCATGATTTGGATGGCGTTTACTAAAGTGGAAAGCTGTACATGTGATGGGACATATTGTAATTAATTAATTATTTTTTTGTATTTAATTTTTATTTATTCGTATCCAACAGGTCGCAGAGGACGCATGAATTAAATTTCGAGCAAAACAGATTTTTGGCCAATGAAAAGTGCGACTACATATTTAAAATTATGTTTTTTTAAATAAATATTTTGCAATGTCAAAGTGGCTTTATTTTTTGATAAACACTATATTTTTACAATTCACAGTACCTACTTTTATAACCAGCTTTTATGAATCATCTCTAAAACTTGAACTTTGACAGACTCTTTTTTGACAGTAGCGGCAAACTCATAGAAATAATATTATTATTTCTAATAATAATAATAATAATAATAATAATAATAATAATACCTTTATTTCTGATGACACATAAATACATGTATAGAAAAAGTCAAAAACATAATTATAGTAAGTAAACAAAATACAGTGGTAATAATGCACATTTAGGCCAAATTGTGACAAAGATGCATGCAATATAAAACGTACGAAAGAGTGAGATTAACAACCATCGACTGGTTAACAAACGTGATTCCCCTCCGTCATGAGCGTCCAGTAGAAATTTTTAAAACAATTAAATCAAAACGGTCTATTACACGCCAATGTTTTGCTTCCCCTTCTTTAACTATCTGCGTTACCCGCCGGGCAGGTCCCGCCCACTCGACATGTTCGAGATTTGCTACTATTTAGTGTCAGTTTCATTACGACTGTGGTAGGGTGTAGTCGGTTGTTATAAAACAACGTAAATATCTTATTATGATTTTGTTTACAGAAACAAAAATTCCTTGCAAATATTTCTTAGGAAATGTGGAAAATAAACAATAATATTCATGTAATAAAAAAACAAATATTCTCAAATAAAAAAGTATTCTAAAAAACGTAAAGAAAAAATAATTTAAAGCAAATGTTCAATTTATTTACAACATTTTGAATTGTTGCCCTTGCTGGTAAGGGTCTATTTGGGAACATATTTGGAAATAATCTTTGAGTTTCTCGATCTGAGATCCCATTTAAATGCCACGTTATAAATTGAATCTTTTCTTCAAGGGTGTAAACCATTTTTATTAGAGAATATTTCCTAATTTATAACAAACGTTCTACCTCTTACTTACAAGTTGTAAGTTACAACACATTCTCTTGTCTGCGCCGAGCAGACTCTGCGGTCGGGCCGCCCGTCTCGGACGATGATCGTAGCCGCGGGGCGCGGTCTGACTTGCCCCACTACTCTTACGTCACTCCACCACTCCCACGTCTCATAATGCATTTGTCTTTATTTAATAAACGGCCTAAGAGCACATTACCATCCCTGTATAACAAAATAAATGAATACAATGAGCACACAATCAACAATACAATCTAATTATTAAAAACACATTAAAAGCTTGAACAAGTTAGACAGAAAAATATTCACTTAATGTATAAAAACACTTATCCAATAAAAATTTCTTTAGCTGTTTTTTAAAACTAAAGAGCAAATTAACATTTTTGATGTCTATTGGTAATTTGTTAAAAATATTAAGACCAATATGATTGGGGGAATTTGTTTCTTTCTTAAGCCTAGAAAAAGGCACCCTAAAATCACATTTTTGCCTTAGTATGTATGTATAGTATTATTTCTATGGGCAAACTATAATATAGTCCCAATGACATTGGAAGCTGTAGACAGCCCATGACAATGAAAACTGTAGACAGCCACATCATCAAGTTATTTATTTTGGCATGTTGTAGTTTTTAGGAAATAAACAATTACAATAATTGTAACACCAACAGACAAGGTGTCCCTAAAATTTATGTGCTAAATAATAAAACATTCCTGAGACCGAAATAATGCGATATAAGAAATTTATAGCCATGAAATTAAAATAAATTTAATGAAATAAAAAACAAATAGCAAGTAAATGGATCATTTCGTTTGATTTTAATTAAAATTTGATTATTTTTATTACATTACGTAAAACATGTTTTTTTATTAATAAAATTAAGAATCGATTTTCTACAAATCCCTGGAACTTTTTTGCAGATTTTATGTTAAGAAAATAAATAAAAACAAGTTGTCAATGTGAATATATGTATTCGAGTTTTACATGTAAACACATTAATCTACATTTCTATCCAATTTCTTTGCTACCATGTTTTAAAACAATACCTACCTATTTAAAAAGTTTTATATATATATTTTTTTTTTACTTTAGTACTCCTGGATCAAAATATTTACTTTTGTGAAATATTGGCTCATTTTTACCTTCCCTACCTCAGAATCTGAATTAGTCGAATTAGTTATTTAAAATTATATAAATTTCATAGATATATACACATTTAGCAAGATTGGGCATAATGATCATAGATGGCGATACCTACTA